TGAAGACTACTCATGAACCTTTATGTGTTACTTTCCTGTTCCCTCTGTAGCTGCAAATTCCTAAATCCCAAAAGAGAACAGAAATTTCTCAATTAAGCTCCTCCCATGGTGCAATCAAAGCAAAAAAAATCCAATAACCACCACTTGTTTCATGGAAATGTTACAAGAATTAAGCTGGAAAATCTGGCTGTGGTTGAGAAACACTTTATTCCTCCTTCAATTCTGCCATTTCACACCACTGTCTGTTTGAGTGGAGACACGTGTAGCATGTTGCTGCAGTTGCTATGGAAAACAATTGTTTTCATTACAACATAGGGAACAGTATTAAGTAGTTGAGGTACTGTTAGGGGTGTCTCTCTTACCTTTGGTTTTTTGCAGACATTTAAGACTTTAAGAGTTTTGCCTGCTTAATTCTCCCTTTTGTAGGAAAATAAGCATTAGAGGCAGTTATGGGTTCTTCCCATCTGGCAGGCCCCCAGGTTGCTCTTCACACTGGATCTTTTATCATCACTTCAGAAAACAAGAAAATCTCAGCCTTCAGTCCATCTCCTTAGTCTCATCTCTTAGTGTCACTGCTAAAGACCACTTCAGCAAAGGAAAATTCACTTGTATTTATCACTAACTTTATTTAATAAACACCTTAAGAAGATAGTTTCAGCCACACCCTGCTAACAACTTTCTTGGATGTTCTTAACCCTGGAGTACAGGAGCAGTTGTCAGATGGACTGGCAAGTTGTAGCACCTGTTCTTCATTTCCTCATTTTGTTTCTGCTCCAAGTTCCTCGTCACCATCCCATTAACACAGCCATGAGCCAGATATGACACCCTTTAAAACCAGTTTTGTGTTTTCTGTAATTCTTCCTGCCTACATCAATTTTACCTTCCATCTATCACAAAGCTCCATGTTCCCCGAGCAGGATGCCATCCCGCCAGCCACTGCCCGAGCACACACCATTCCTCTCCTGAGGAGCTTAATCCAAGCAGATCCGGAACTCTGTGGGGCTCCTCTATTCGCTGTATCTTGCTTAAGTTTACAACATACCTCTGAAGACAGTGCATGAAAAAGAGGACTTCCACATCTACTCTCACCCTTTCCTGCATCACTTTCTTGCCATATTTCTTGTTTTGAATTACTGTTTCCATCACAGATGGCCAACTGTTTCCTACTTCTGCTGTTCCCATATGGTCTGGAATCCTTCACAGCTTTGCACTTCCCCTAAAGACAACTGCATTGTACTTAAAAACATTTGTGCTGCTTGCCTTAACAAACATACACTAATGATTCCTTGATATAAGCTGTTCCTCTGGCATACTTTTAGTTGCTATGGTTGGCTCCTCTCCTAACACACCTCTCATAGCTCCTGACTGAAAATCTGTGATGGGGTATGGCTTTTATTAGACTGTACATTAAATCTTCATTAGCAGTCAAGAATCCCTGATCCTGTGTACCACTGTTGCGACTTTGAATCTTAAACAGGTGCTGAAAGACACACTGGAGGTCAAGTTCTCTATTGATGTAGCTGCAACGGGGTGTAAATTCCACCCTAGAGGAGAGCTGATCAGAGCACAGGTAAAACAGGAATAGCAGCTATCTTTGATTTAACCGTTAGCCTTCAGCGGAGATACCACATAAGCATCTCTTGCACACTTTATTGGAAGAAAACAGCTAAGAAATTAGAGGAAATGTCCTTTAATATGAATGCATTAACTTAGAGGTATTTCCTTCCATCACAATAGTACTGTGATACTTGTTCTACACTCCCAGCAACAAAACAAGGTAAGCTGCCTTACTTTTACAAACAGATCTGGAACACTCTTTACATGATTGTTCTTGTTCTCGAAGAAGTTAAAGAGAGCTTTTCATAATGCCACCTTTGTGCAGAGAAATTTAAAGCATGTTTCTACGAAGAACTACAATTGATTTTTTTTTCTTTTCTTGTGGCACACCCTCTTTCTCCACATTTTCTGACAGTAGAAGGGTCATCTGTTTTTTTCTTTTCTCTCCCATCCAAATGGGTGTAACAGTACTAAATAGATCAATATGGGATGCCTGTACCAGATACAGGAAGTCCATGAAGCAGATGAAAAAAATCAATAGAAATTCAGTCAATAGAAATTCATGCATGTCATAAAAGGAACCAAAGGAAAGAACAAGATCACAAAGCATCTAAAGTATCTACAAGACTTCTCAGTATTTCCCACTTTATCACAGACTTCTTATTTTTATGTTTTTGTTCTTCATTCCATGCATTTGTCTTCAATGCAAAAGTTCTTTACCAACTTCATTTGCAGATTGGCAGAGATAACACCGTCATGCTCCTCCTTTTAGGCTCACTGTGAATTTTAATGGTGAATTATCGTATCACCCATGCATATGTCCCAAATTGATTAACTTGGTATTTTAATATTAGATTGCAAAGCTTAAGATGTTCATCTGTATTTACCTCAGTTTGTCATGTCATCATGCATGGCATGTCATCTAAATAACTAACTTTTTAAAAGAAAAAAAAAATCCGCACTAGAGCCATTCACATCATCCAGATGCTGCTATAATGTGGTGGCTCTGGCTTTCTCAAGTACAGATGTTCAGAATCATGCTCTATAGAAACTTACAAGTGCAGGCAACCAGATCAAAACTGATCCCAAGAACATCTGGCCAAACGGATGCACTGTTGTTTGACAAAGGCATCGTCAGCATTATTTACAGTACCTGCCTTAGTTTTTTGATAGAGTTCATTATGCAAGGCGGTGATAATAGCTGCAGAAGAATGAATATGTTTTCACTTAATAACATTTAACATTACAGCTTAAGTAATTCTCTAACCCTCAGAAGTTAATTCAAGTGAAGCATGTTTATAAATAAACTAATAAAAGATTAGGATGCAATTTATTTTACTAGGTAGACACAATTTTGCAATAGCAAGTAATTTGGCTTTCTCAGTGCAACACTTTCTACTCTGACTACATGCTTGATCAACTGCAAAGTTTTGCAGTTATTTAGGACTTGGAACTGGGGTCCATTAAACACAGGCTTCCTATGGATTTTAGTATTTTTTACTGGCCACGTATAAGACTAATAAAGCACGTCAGTGTTCCAGCATTCATTGTGCCTGTCTGCTAGTTTAACTGTACCCTTCTCACAAGAGTTTTTCCTTCAGAGGCATGCAGTCATTATTTCTCTGCCTAAAAAATCTACACTACATATGCATCAAGACAAAACTAGTGAACAGGTTTAGTTCAAACTCACACAGACACACATATCAATAGGTTAAAACTGATTTTTCTTTCCTTTCTAGACACAAAGGCCAGAGAGGAGAACAAATTTTCAACACATAACCATTGAAGGCATGTTGCTACCAAACAAACTTTTGTTTACCAGATGTATTCATGCAAACGTAACCTTCACCAAGAGTAAGTTAAGTGGAAAGCAGAAGAAAATAAAGTGGGAAGTTGAGAACATACTGAATTCAACAGCAATCTTCTCAGAGAATTCACAGGATTTCATCCTACAATTTTCATGTAGAGTCAAGCCTTTTATCCATCTCTAAAGCAACATCAATGACAGTATATTTGTGTCTACTCTGCAGAAGAACACTTGACGCCAAAATCCACCTTGATTACACTTTGTATAATCAGTATGTAAATCTAAACAGAATTTAATACTGACCAAATTTACACAGAGGATATTAATCTGAACTTAAGCTATTTGTACCCTACACAACCTACAAAGCAAGAAAGAGAACATATCTTTATTTTGACATAGGCTGCTCCTACTTTGCCTTGTATATTTTTCTCATACATTGGATAGGATTTAGTTTTTTTTATTCCTAAGGTATTTCAGCACCAGAAACTCAGACTCCCGCATGTTAAGCTGAACGCAAAAAGCCACTACACTGGCCTAAAGATGGGTGAAATGGTCCCACAGTTTGCTGTTCTTGGACTCCAACATTTGATTCCATAAAGCCTCGGACCGCAGAGACATTGCCCTCCTTAGGAGTACTGATAACACATCTTGATACATGTTTCATAGAATCATAGAATGGTTTG